GCAAATTATCCCTGATAATAATAAATAGAAGAACAAATAATATAAAGTTAAACTAGAAAGATGTCCTTTGGGCCTAAAGCTGCATTGGTTTGGAGAACGAGACTTGAACATTGGCTATGCTTGTGCTTAAATTTGTTTTCTAAGGCTAAATTTTTTGACCAAAAAAAAAAAGCCTAAATTTAAATTAATACTAAAAAGCAACGTTTATACAAACTTGAAATTAAACCAATTTGGAAGTTCGCCTTGTCAATGGTATGTTGAATACCTTGTACTTTAATTATCTGGTATATTTTCCTATGTTTGATCATATGTTTTGCATATATATATTGGAATGTGTGTATGCTTTATTTACTTTTAACTCTAATGCTAATGTATGGGAAAAAGAATGATATGATTTTGGGAAAGAAATACTTTATTTGGGAGGGCATTGGTTGTTGCAAAAGCAGATTGAAAAGTCCTAGATTCCACAATCCCTTGGAGATTGCCACTCATTAGGCTACCACTCATTATTAATTTGGTTTTACTTTAATTAACTAAAACTAATAAAAATATAAAATCGATTTGAACTCGTATCCTAAAATCTAGATTGATTTCGTAACTTTAAATGTAGTGTAAATCAGTGAGTTTTTTTATACTATATAGAAATTTTTGTTTTGACTTGTGACTCGTAAGGTGCAAATTAATATCCTTTACAAGTTATTAAAACTATTTCTACAAAAGACAAAAAAAGAATTAAAAAAGATATTTGAAGTTGCCTCAAATTTAACGACTACTGCATTGCTATTTATGTCGAATCCAGATTGCAATTTCGATAAGATGACATAGAGAGAATCCGGTAAAGAAATAGTGAAAAGAAAATTAAATACGACTCTCTCTCTCTATAAGAACGTGTTGTACAACTGTATAAGTGTGTATATGGATGTATGTACCTATATATGTCCGTGCTTTTGACTCATAGTTCTGCGTGTTGGTCGTATGTTAGTTTTGTCCGTTAAGACAAAAAATCCCAGAATTCCTTATAACTGAATTTTACATTCCCCTTGTTTTTATATAGCTCGTTACATTGTTTTTTTTTCTCTTTATCTTTTGACATATTACACACTTCTTTCTTCTTCTAACGTCTGATTTCCTTCATTAATTCTCCGACACTAAACTCTTTTGTTTTTTCTTACTTAAAAAATAAACGAAGGCTTGACTTAATTTAGATACTTAGTCTAATTGTTGCATGCATGTAGTTATTAGAGTAATTATCTAAATTAAGTGGTTCAAATACATAGCTAGTATGTGATCATATTCAAGTAATGAATGCACTTGGCTCGTAAATGCACTTGTCAATGGCTATTGTATACGCCACACATTCGGAAAAAGGGGTTAAACACGTTAAGTTGTAATTTTTTAAAAATAATGCATATTAATTGTATAGCATCCTTATTTTAAAGAATTGAAGTATTTACATGTAATGATTATCATCAATTTAGGTGTCGATTCGCCAATCCTTTTTTTTGTTCTATAAATATATATCTGATGTTTGGTTCTTTTATTTTAGTTAAAAAAAAAGTGTATATATATTTCCAGATAAATGACATCTTTATGTTCAAAACAACACATTCATATAGAATAATTTGGCATCCCTTAACTACTGGTAGAACCCTAGGTCAGTATATAAATGATCCATCTAGCTAGCATGTATATCCTTTGTATAAGTTGTGTAAATTAACACCATATTCTTATGTTGTATTTATTACAGTTTTTATATTACATTAATAGCATGCATGTGTTTCTTTCATTTAGGTATCTACATTTTATTGTTTTTTTTTTAAATCTAATTTTGTTTGAGTTATCTACATTTTTATCGTTCTAATTAAAATTTAGTTGTAAATCATAAAGGCAAGACTAAACTAATTTGTCATTCAGTTTTCTTTCGTAATAAAATACACATAAAACCCAAAAAAACTTTACAAAGCTATCTCATAATTAAAGAAATGATAATATTTTGTGCGTTT